TTTTTTATTATTTCAAGAAAAAGACCAAAATATAAATTTTAAAAACGTTTAAAACATTAAAAGATTATTTTAAAACTATAATTGAAAATTATCGTATTGTTGTTGAAATATTTTAAAAATATTAATTTTAGATTACCATTGAAATAATAATAAAAATTATTTAAAAAAAAAATGTTCAAAAATATCGTGAAATACAAAAATTCCTCGGAAAGAATTTTGATTAGATGAATATTAAAATTTCCGCTGAGTAATTATCTTTTTAGTAATATAGTGGAATCCTAGTATAAGATAAGAAAAATGTTTTTTAATAAATTATTGGAAAAAACACGATGTGTAACCGTATATTTTCCTCGTATTAATCTTTGTAGGCAGGATACGTTATATATTACAGCACGTTTCCAGATTCCGATAATGGATCTGGAATAGTTAGTACTGGTTGACAGTGAAAACTCGTTGCGTGCAAGAAATATAAGTTTATAGCAACAGGTTCGGGTTCAGGAAACCCACCCCATTAATGAAAGGCGTTGCACTCGCGTGTAGGTGCAACGCACGAAGAAGATACGACTGATTGGAATCCAACCAGTCGGAGAATTTTTTCCTTCCTTTCTTTCTTTCTTTTTTTTTTTTTTTTTTTCCCCTCCACAAGCATCGCATATGATTTTTCTTTCTACGAGACAACTTTATTTTTACGATAAAATGAAATATAAACGAGCGAGCAAAGGAAATACGTACAAACACAAGAGAAAATAATGTTTTTCATGATACACGATCGGTAATTGCAATAGGTAATTGATATTGCCTTTTAGAACGAAACGATAATATTTTTAAGCATTAAAGTGCTCCTTTCCATTCTTTACGAAACGTTCGTTTGTCGTTTAATTTCCATATTTGTAGATTTTTCAACGAAACAAGACTCGTAGACCGTGTTACGAAACCTATATATAATGAACTTATCAGATCAATTGATCGTGATTAGAATGTAATATTTTACGATAAAACTGTATTTTGGATTATTGTTGGGATTATCATTTTCTTTACGAGTTCAATCTTTCCCTTTTCTTTTTTTTTAATTTTTTTTTATTAATTTTTATTAATAAATTAACCGATAAAAATAAATTAAGATCTTTATCTTTTTTTAAGAAAAGATCCATGGCGATGAGTTTCATTCATTCCTCGGAAAAATTACACCGCTTATAAGATTTAATTAAAAAAAATAGGATATCTTTTATCATTCTCCTTTTACGGGAAAATGTCTTTAACCTTCGAAAGAGAAAAATGGGAGATGAATCACCTTTGGTAAAGGGAAAATTCTAGCTCACGAACTTTTCATCGAGTTCATCGCGCGTTCACGTGTTGCATATTATTACATAAGAATGTAGACCACGTATGCAGGCGTAACGCAAAGCAATCTGTTACCCTTGTTACCCTTTCTTTCTTTTTTTTTTATTCACAGCTTTCCTTTTTCCCCCTTCGAAACAATCTATAAAAGCTTTCGATCGTTCGCGATTAAACTCGATAAACGTATAAAGTGGAAACTTATCGAAGATAGAAAAAAGGAGAACAAAAAACAAGATAAACATTACGCGAAATTTAATATTAATAAATGCTGAATTCAAGATATGAGATTCATATTCGATCGATCGATAAAGTAGAAGGAGAATAAGATTTTTTTTCCTCTCGACGACCAGTCGATCAATTCCTTTACGTGTATCGGTGATATTACGTAAGGACAAAAAAAAAGTCTACATGCACTGTGTAATCTTTTACCCTTACCGCGATATTACCCCTGTCTCCTGTTGCATATCCACAGCGGTGAAACCACAGAAGTGAATATCTCTTGCGATTTATGCGGCATAAAATTACACGTCACGAAAGCTTCGGCTTTAAAGGCTATTTACCCGATTGCATTTTCTTTTTTCCTTTAGTGAGACTAAACTCGTAGACTCTTGACAAGCGTAAATATCGTTGTCGTGTCGCATGTTGGACACATAGTTTTTATTATACATGGGATTAAATTTTGATAACGAGGCGATGAAAACTAATTGATGATTCTAAAAATATGAAAAATGTATGGAATAAAATTTGTTTATATTGTAAAATAATCTATTTAAGAGAAACCAGTATTGGATAAATTATAATTAACTTTCACGAAGGATTTATTTTTGTATCATTCTTCTTCTTTGATTATATTATAATCTTTGCATCAAAAATTATAGTAAAAAGAGTATAAAAGAGAGAGAGAGAGAGAAATGATATTATGTTGATATGATGTTGAGCAGAAAAGTAAATTTGTATTCTCGCGTCTGCGAATAGTGAATTCTATTTATTCAAACTTAATGCGTGTTCACATGTCAGGTGGCGGCTAGTCCCCCCCCTACTCTAGTGTATTTTACACGGCCTCCGCCACCTCCTCTTCTTTCAAGGTAAATTGCAAAGGCCGAGGGTGGATGTTTCATGCTATTTATAATGTTTACAGTGGTCGACTCGTTCAGAAGAGAGAGAAGCTATTTTGTGTTATTTACCGGTTGCTTAATTACAGGTTACCGGCAATCGCCCATAGGCGTGGTAATCGACTGAATCGTGGTAACTACTAAAAATCGACCGATTCGATGGAAAAAGAACAGGGTGTAACCGGGATCATGATAGCGAATTATTGCAAGGGCGCGGTAGGAAACGATTTTGTAATAAACGCGCGTAATTTTTCCGCAAACATTTTGATTCTTTTACGAGAGGAAGCGTCATTGTCGATATCGGATCATTAATCGTGTTGCAGTGCATTTTATCGTCGTAATTTCGACGTTTAAAAAGAACATTCCTGAAAACAGAAATACAATTGCTCAATTCATTTAATTTTGCATAATATATATTTTTGTCATCAAGAATTTCTAATCCGACGACATATTTCAATCATCAATCTATCATGTGCATGTAAATGGATTTAAAAAACTGCCATAGCTCGTCATTGAACGTACGATATTGCGCGTGATAATTATTGTTAATCGTCGTCGGAAATCGAAATTTCTCACAAACTAGTATATGATGCATAAAAAACATTCACGCACAACATACATTCAATAATAATACTATTACATATATCGATAATCGTATCACTCGATCAGAAATATTTTAACCACAAAATCATAAGATAGCGTATCGTTTCTTCGTTGCATAGTGTGTAACCAGACAGAAAGTTATCGATCGATCACTATGTGGCGGGCCACCACATATTCGATACCGTTCAAATTCCAGCCAAGCATATTACGAGGTTGTGTCTTTTGTGCATCCATTCCTCGCTATAAAAGTCCTCAGACATATACCTTTGTTCACCGATCATTAACATCCTTTTGGGAACAAAGAGATCCGATGAACGAAGGGGTCTGTCTCTTCCGTCTGGCGGAATCACGGTTAGTTTGTAATTGTTCCACGTCGCTGTCGTTACGTTCACCCACGCGCACGTATATGCATTTGTGATACGGTGTGCGTATGCATCCGTCACGAAACACGTGCGTATTACTTTTTCGACTTTATCGACTGAAAAAGTTCTTTATACGGTTACATAATATTTGTTGATATTCAACGAGTTATAATACCTATAAAAAGAATAAAGTAAAATAAAAAAATTAACTCAGATATTGAATGTTTGATAGCATAAAACAGTTATGGTAACGATTTGAGATTGCGAACCACTGTGTTAAAAGTAACTAGCGGTTTTTCAAGGTTCGATTTGCTCGTAAAGCCTATCGGTTCGTTTGCTATGCGATACACGATTCTCTATTCCTCTTCCCCTTTTCCTCTGTGTTTCATCTTTTGACTCGAGAATGCATAATCGTGCTATGATTCATAATTCATTTAAAAACGTACATGCAATCATAATTTAATTTTATTGTATTAACAGTTATAATAGAAGGAATGAAATCAAGTTTATGTAAACTTTAAAAATCTATACTTTTTAAAAGAACTTGTTTGTTTCAATCTAAAATGTCTAGATATATCTAGATGTATAACCTTGTACTTAATGCCAATAACTTTTTTTGTATAATTATTTTGCGTATTATATATTTATACGTACAATATGTTATTTAAGAAAAAGTAATACATATTGAAATTAAAAAGAATTATTTTATTTATAATATTATAAATAATGAAGAATTTTTACATTCACTTTAATTCATGAAATTCTAAAGTATTATAGAGAACAACAGGAGGAATGCATGTGCAATATATTATTTCAGTTACAACGCAGCATCCTGCATTCTTATGCAATAGCTAGTTCATCAGTGAATCGTGTTTATTTTTCATAAAAGAATTTATTATTATTTATCGGTTTTCTATGAATTAATTAAATGATATCATTAAATAATATAATTATATAATACAATTGCAATGTTGATTAACTTTTTATTTATTAAATAATCTTAACGATTCAAAGTTTTTTACGAAAGGTTCAAGTATTAAAGAAGTATAACTTTTCAATATTATCAATACTATCTACATGCATTTTTTAAAAGTATTAAATAATTAGAATTTTATATTTCATAAAATTTAAATATATTAAATAATTAAAAATAATTTAAGAAAATTAAATTAACCATGTGTTCTCAAAATAATAAGAATTTTTTTTATTAAGAATTTCTAGCGATTAATTTATCTTTCAATTTTTTTCAATTCGTGTAATTGAAAAACAAGAACTGAAAAATTATATCATATACTTACAATTATAAGTAAATATAACTGATTGGGATGAATTAGTTAAATTTAGAGCAAACGAAAAACGATTAAGTCTATGAAGAACTAATTTCATTAATTTTTTGTTTATTTCTTTTTTATTTATTACCTTTTATATTTATTACTGGTTAAATCTTGATATTCTTTTTCATTTTTTTTCTAATAAAGGAAAATTTTATGAAAATATAGTTTAAATGTATATCAACAGATTTTTAGCTTTTAATTTAATTTCAAAATACAGTATAAGTATTATTTGCTGCTCTTTCTCATTCTAGATATACCAGACATTCCTGAGAACATCAAGAATTTACGGGCACTTCAGGTGGCGGATTTTAGTAGTAATCCTATTCCAAGGTCAATAAATTATTCTTTATTTTATTTTTCTTTATGAAAAATGTTTAAATTTTCTTTTAAAATATTATTTTTATTAGAAATATTAATTGAAGACTTAAAAAAAAGACAACTTATTCTTAATAGGCTTCCAGCAGGGTTTGTGCAATTAAGAAATTTAACTGTTTTGGGACTTAATGATATGTCTCTTACGAATCTACCGCCTGATTTCGGAAGGTAATGGTAACAACAACTTACTTTAATTGCTTTCAACTTAAAACTTAAAATCGTAAATTATATTATGCCTAGTACTGAAGTTTGTGCATCGATTGTTCTTAGCTTAGAGGCGTTACAATCATTGGAGTTAAGGGAAAATTTGCTCAAGTCCTTGCCAGAATCGTTATCCCAACTTTATAAATTGGAGCGGCTAGATCTTGGTGACAATGACATTGAAGTTTTAGTAAGATAGATATTAAATTAAATCATTTTGAAAAATTATGAGTATACTAACTTGATATTTTTATTTTAGCCAGCACATATAGGAGAATTACCAGCATTACAAGAATTATGGCTGGATCATAATCAGTTACAACATTTACCACCAGAAATAGGGGAATTGAAAACATTAGTGTGCCTGGATGTATCTGAAAATCGCTTGGAAGATCTTCCAGAAGAAATAGGAGGTTTAGAGTCTTTGACGGATCTTCATTTATCGCAAAATGTTATTGAAAAATTACCCGATGGACTTGGAGAATTAAAGAAACTTACTATTCTCAAGGTCGATCAAAATAGGCTTTCTACTCTAAATCCAAATATAGGCAGGTGAGATTAATTTTTTTCTCTATAAAAATTTAAATATTTTAGAAAGAAATAAAATTAATGTATTCACTCATTATAGGTGTGAAAATTTACAAGAATTAATTCTTACGGAAAATTTTCTCTTAGAACTGCCTGTATCTATAGGAAAACTTCTTAATCTAAATAATTTAAATGTAGATAGGAATAGTTTGCAATCACTTCCTACGGAAACGGGTAAGAAATATTTTATTTCAAATAATCAAATATCAAAAATAAATTTTTTTGAGTTAAAAACACTTATTTTTTTTTACAGGAAATTTAAAACAATTGGGTGTACTGTCCTTAAGAGATAATAAACTACAATATCTTCCAATCGAAGTTGGACAATGTACTGCTCTCCATGTATTGGATGTGTCTGGCAATAGGTATATAATTTTTTTATTTTAAATCTTAAATATCTTTTCAATATTTAAGATTAAGATAATTTTCAATATTTAAAAACATTTAATAAAGAAATTAATTTTTCAGATTACAATACTTGCCATATTCCTTAATCAATTTGAATTTGAAGGCAGTATGGTTAAGTAAAAATCAAGCACAACCAATGCTTACTTTTCAAACAGATGTTGATGAAGAAACTGGACAGGAAGTATTAACCTGTTTCCTTCTACCACAATTAGAAATTCATCCAGATGGTTAGTAAATTAATTTTATTAAATTTGATGTGTATATATATATATATATATATATATATATAATATATTATAAATATATAATATATATTTATAATATATATTTATAAATAAATATATATATTTATATTTATTTAATATAATGATATATTTAGATTCAGGAAGACTTGGTATGCTTGCTGGAATGAGAAATGCTGTTCAAGATGGTGAAATACGTGAACTTGGTAGTAGTGATGATGAAGGATGGCAAGAAAAAGAAGCATCAAGAACGCATTCTGTCAAGTTTACAGATGAACCTCCAGAAACTGATAAGGAGGTGAGCAAAATATATATAACAAAACCTCTTAAATTTTTTAGATTTACTATATCTAAATTCAGATTATTATCAGGATATTTAATGTGTTGGAAACGTTATTATTCTTATGACTCGTTATATTAAAATTATAATAAAAAGTGAATTAAGAGTGTATTTTTTTTCCTAACCATTTTTTTCTTGTAATTATATATAATAGAAGATAATTGCACTTATTTCAGACACCTTTTGTACGACAAAATACACCTCATCCCAAAGAATTGAAAGCAAAAGCTCATAAATTATTTAGTAAAGGAAAAAATGACAGTCGTTCAGCATCTACAGATGAGCAAGTAATTAATTTAATTTTTCAAAAATATTATATACTATAGATTTCTTTTAATTTAAGAAGAAATTAATAATATTTTTAAGGATGTTTCTCAAACATTTGGTTTGGACAAAACTGAAACTGATGTTTCAACAAAACCTAACGATTTGACAGTTGATTTGATAGGACAAGAATCATTAAAACATGAATCTGTAGAAAATGAACAAAAAGAAATTGTACCTGGAGTAGTAACTGATGATACAGATGTCCAACCTAGTAATGAAATAGTTTCTAATCAATATATAATAGAATCTAATACTGTATGTATTTATAATAGATTATTATATTTATTGATTAATTTATTTATTTATGTTTATCTTTGTTTTTTATTGTAAAAATTACTTTTTAGGACGTAAGAATTGAAAGTTCAATATCTGAATCAAAGGATAAAAATGATAAAGAGGATGATGAATCTGAAAATGAAGAAACACAAAGACATGTAGAATTTTCTATAGCTGAAGGTACAGATTATGATGGTAGTGGTGATTCAAATAGACCAAATAGACTTCATCGTAGAGATACTCCACATCATTTGAAAAATAAGCGAATTCATACAGCAGTGGATAAAGAAAAAGTAGCATCCATTATTGCACAAGTAATTATTATCTAAAAATATTTAAGAAATATATTAATATTTATGTATATGATATATTTATATATATATAAATATGTGTATTACCAATTATAATTAATTAAAGACAAATTTTATACAGTTTTCATTATGTGTTAGGCACTCATGAAAAAAAATGATGAAATTTCCACATCCACGTCAGCACCTGCAGAAACTACAGAAAATTTTGACACTCAAAGTCAAGGTAAGACATTTATATCAATATCACATCACCTCCTTTTATATCACTTTTAAATCTTTTCTTTAAATATAATATTTTTTTATAACATTTATTCATTGCATATAAAATAAAATATTTTAATAATTATTTTTCCGTTGTAAATTGTATGGTGAATCGTTTTAAACTTTTTGGTATCATTACTTCATAATCACTAACAGCAAACAATCCATGATAAGATATTCTTTTTCCATTAACTATCTTATCATTTATTCAGTTATCTATCTTGATATAACAAGACATGTACATGCGTAGAAAAAATTGTAAATATTAATCAATTAAAATTAATTAATATTGAATATTATATTAAAAATATAAAAAAATATTAAATATGTCCAAAAGATATAGATGTTTTGTAAAAAAAAAAAAAAAAGGGAATAAAAGTCGGTAAAATTCAAGTATCTAATTACGTATAATAACATACCAATCAAATTTTTAATTACATAGATGCGATTTCAGATGCTGAGCCGACAATAGAAGTACGAGAAGAACAATACGAAATTCACATCGAAAGAACGACAGGTGGTCTCGGCTTATCAATAGCTGGTGGTATTGGTTCAACTCCTTTTAAAGGCGATGATGAAGGCATTTTTATTTCCAGAGTTACTGAAGGTAAAATATTATAATTTTATAATTACAAATTTAAAAAATAGAAATTAAATAATTTAAATTAAAAAAATATATAAATATTTTATATAAATTATAAAAATTTTATAATTATTATATTTATTTATATTTTATTTCATTTATATTATATTTATTTTTATATTTATTTATATTATAATCATTTTGATTTTTTTTAGGTGGACCTGCAGATTTAGCAGGTTTAAAAGTGGAAGATAAAGTATTATCTGTTAATGGTGTATCAGTAGTAAATGTAGGTCATTATGATGCTGTAGAAGTTTTGAAAGCTTGTGGACGAGTTCTTGTATTAGTAGTTCAAAGAGAAGTTACAAGGATAGTGCCTCCATATGAACAGGTATTATTTTATAAAATTTAAGCAATTTCTTATATTTTTTATATTACTGTATTTAGCAGGTATCATCGAGAAAGAACTCAGTGTGCTCTAGTTTAAGTACTAGTAGAGCTCCAAGTGCAACATCTCATGTTTCATCTATAGGTTTTTCACATAATTTAGAAAATGGTGATGCTTTATCTCATGATGCTATTAAGGTATATATATATTTTTTATATTGAATAGTACTTATATATTGAATATATAAAATTAAAATATAAAATTTAAAAATAAATATTTTTATTTTTATAAGTGTAAGAAAATTCCTGAACCTATATCTTCAACAAAGGTAGGCAATGAACCAATGGTATCAGTTCTTGTTCACACAACATTAATACGGGACCAAAATGGGCTTGGATTTAGTATTGCTGGTGGAGAAGGTTCTCCACCATTCAAAGACAATAGTGATGTAAGATTTTCAATTTATAAAATTATTTTTTATATCATAATTATTTTGTCGTTAGTTAATTGTGCTTTTTCTAAATGTTTAGGCAATATATATTTCAAGAATAACAGATGGCGGCGTAGCACAAAAAGATGGTAAATTATTAGTTGGAGACAAAGTAATATCTGTAAGTATAATTTTAATATATTAGAGTTTGATATATATAATTATGATTTTTGTTTGGTATATTTTAAAATTACTTTATAGATTAATGGAGTTGAGATGAGAGGAGCTAAGCATGAGCAAGCAGTTGCTTTATTAACAGGTTTAGAAAGATTTGTTCGATTAGTAGTCGAACGCGAAATACCATTTTCGCAAGCAAATGCAGCCACGGTCGTAACACCTTCAGAAAAATCACCACGAGTAATCGGTGCACCTAAACCATATACAGGATTATATAATGCCAATAGTTACATAGCAAATAAACCGGGATATACCGGATACAGACGTTCTATAGATGCTGATAGAACATTATCTCCAAGCCCTACTTCGAAAACGCCTCCACCTATGAAAATTGAAACTACTGAGTTACCGAAAATGAATGGTGTTACAGAATCAGGAAATATTAAAAACGTTTCTTCGATATCACCAAGTCCAACAAATAGCCAACTACATCCACAACCTGCCCCTAGGCACAGCATTTCGCAACCAATAATTACACCTACAACTACTACGAGTTCAACGCCCACATCTTCTACAGAACCTAGGTCAACCTCACCCCAGGAAGATATACAGGTACCCAAGCCTATCACCAACGAAGAATTTCAGGCTATGATTCCTGCTCATTTCCTTCGCCCTCCTACTTCCTCACCATCGCCAGATTCCCATCAAGGCCCTATTGTGACAGTGACAATAAAACAGCCTGATAATCTACCTGGAGATGTTAATTTTCCTCCGGCTCCTACAACACTTGGTAAAGTTACTGAGACCATCACAAAGAGCACTCTCACCGAGACCGTCGTAACTAGGGTGACTGAAAATCAATTGGTACCACCAGTAATCATTGAGGTATGTGCTTGGTAGCTAGATGCAATAATTGATTATGTTGCACATACAGTTTAAAGAAAGTTATAAAGAAAGTTTAAAGAAAGTTATTAAATTAAATTCTTGTTGGAAAAATATTATTTATCTTTAATTAACAAAATACATCTTTAATTAACAAAAATTAATTAAAAAAGAAGCGAAAAGGAAGATTGAATAATATTTATTTTCTTATTTTTAAATATTAAAATTATATATTTTTATTTTTTCTTTGATATGGGAATAGTTTGTACTTTTTTAATATTTTAGATTAGTTAAAAAAAGAAAAGAAAAGTTAAGTATTTATTATTTGTAATATATTAACTTATTTCCATGCTTGAACGATAATCACAATGTTATTAAATATTATTTTATGTATTTTTTTAATTTTTTTATTTATTTTTTTAATTTTTTTATATATATGTTTTAATACTATAACTTTTTATTCAGTACAATCAATTAATCTTCAAAATAATTATAATTTAGAAAATAATTGATAAATTTAAAAAATAATTTAAAAAATAATTGATTGAATAGTTTTCTCCCTGTGCATGTTTAATTAAGAAAATAATATTTGTATAAATGTTAACATTTATTATATTATATATTTTAAAAAAATTTTAAACATTATAAATATTTATGTTTATATTTTTTATTTTAATGATAATAATTATATTCTTATTTATCGCATGTCTATATATTTGAAATTGATTATCATTGATTAATTCAATAATTATTTTTGTATGTGCATTATCAAACTATTTGAAAAATACTTGCTAGCAATTGTTTGTATGGAATGTTATATTACTTTATACCTTGGGTGCTTATTCTCTGGCATGGAAATAGGTAAGTAGTATAAAATTATGTTTTTATTAAAAGCTTAATCATGTGCATCCTTCATTTTTTCGAAATTCATTTTTTCACGAAATTCCTTTTTGTTTTCAAAATATCCACAATATCATTTTTTAAAGTAATTTTAAAAATAATGTAATTTAAACAATGATTTTATGTATTTTTAATAATTAAAACATTGATTTTTAGGACGTGATTCTTGTAAAAGAAGGATCTCTAGGATTTAGTATTATTGGTGGTACAGATCATTCATGCACTCCATTTGGTGCAAAGGAGCCTGGAATTTTTATATCTCATGTAAGTTTTTTAATATTTTTTTTTTAATATTGAAAATTTGTATAATATACAAATTTTGTTATGTATATATTAGGTCGTGCCTGGTGGTATAGCTGCAAAATCTGGTAAATTAAGAATGGGTGATAGAATACTAAAGGTAAATGGTACTGATGTAACAAAAGCTACTCATCAAGAGGCTGTGATGGAACTTTTGCGACCAGGAGATCAAATAGTGCTTACAGTTCAACACGATCCACTACCCGAAAATTATCAGGTAAATTGTTTATAATTTAATTATTGTTTGCGCTTGCTAGTTATTGCACAAATATTTAGCAAAAAGATTATTGCTTTTTAATTACAAAATAGCTTTCAAAGTAAAATGCTTATAAAAATCTAATTTCACAAATTTAATTGAATGTTTATTATCATGCTTAATTCTCGATCTCGTAATGTTTTAAAATATAAATTTAAGATCAAAAATCAAAACTTTATATAAATTATATAATATTCTAATGCATTAAATAATCAAGATGAATAAACATATATTTAGTTATATGTATATAAAATATTGTCTATAATTGCACAAACGATAGAATAGAATTAATTCGTTTATTAGTATTAAATGCACTATATTTATCAATGAAATGCTTCTCATCTGCAAAACATGGCATTTAGTGCTTCAATTATAATCATTTCGTTTTGCCATTTTTTAATGCTGTTATTTATAATTTGTCCTACAAGCTGGTCGAAATAGAGTACATCCCTGTGACAGTAAGTACTCAATTTATTTGACCTGTTTTTATTTTGTAATACCATGCTTATCCTTTTGTTAAGGCTGTAAGCTCAGCACTGAATCACGAGCATTTGCTTTTTTGCTTAGGCTGAGATTATTTAAATATAGAATTTAAAATTCATTCTTGTTTGCTTTATATGCTTTATGCTAAATTACAAAATCTTAATGATATAACTATTAAATATTTTTATAAATTATTTATATAATTTATATTATTTATTATATATTTATATAAATTATTGTAAAAAAATTCATATTTTTTAATACTAATTCAATATTAATAATTAAAAAATATAAAAATTTTTTGTACAACAAAATAATTATAAAAAGTTATATTATTATATTATTAAAAAATAATTTTATATTTTAGGAATTAGTTATTACAAAAGAACCAGGTGAAAAACTGGGCATGCACATTAAAGGTGGACTTCGAGGACAAAAAGGTAATCCACTTGATCATACAGATGAAGGAGTTTTTATATCCAAAATCAACTCAGGTGGTGCGGCTAAAAGAGATGGAAGACTGAAAGTAATTATTTTTAATGCTTACTATAAAGAAACAATTATACTTTTCAATCATTTTATTATCTTTTTAATTTTAGGTTGGAATGAGACTATTAGAAGTTAATGGTACATCATTATTAGGCGCAACTCATCAAGAAGCAGTAAATATATTGCGGTGTTCAGGAAATACAATTACATTGGTGGTTTGTAAAGGATATGATAAGAGTGAAATTGAACCAGTATTACCAATATCAGATGGAAGAGATTCTAAGGAATCTAGAACATCCAAAGAATTAAAAGATGCTACAACAGAAGGTACTAAATCGTTATCACAAAGTATATCCAGTCTGGATCGCGATGATGAAGAAGCAGCAACTCTTAGACAAGAACAAGAAATGAAAGCTGAACTTGTAGCATGGGAACAAGAAGAAAGAGAACGTGCTTTGCTTGAGCAAAGAGAAAAATCTACTCCTGAAAAAGTAAGATTATTAAAAAAATAGAATATCAAACAATATCTAATTGTTATTTATCAATATTTTAAATATTTTTAAATCAAACAGGTATTAGATGTAGTAAGAGCAGCTGAATCATTAGTAAGCAAATCAAATAGTCCGGTTGATATGGTCGTACCGCCAAAGTCACCAGGTGGTACGAAAGATCTCAAAACAACCACTATTGTGATGAGCAAACATACTCTAGCACCTCAAAATACAAATGTAAGTACTTCCTATAATATTATAAATATATAATCGGAATATATTATTATATTTGCATGTCTAAACTAATTTACAAACAATAATTTATTTTTATCAGTTATAATAAAATAGTAATAATGTTTTGTAAAATAGTAGTAATGTTTCTTTAACAATAACTATAGCTATTGTATTTGATTTTAATTTTTTTTATTTCATTTTCAATCATTTTGAATGTATAATATGTTTTTGTAAATAATGAATTTCGCATAGATGGATGCTTAACTTTATATAATCTTTTTTTTCTTATTCGTCTATGTTTTTTTATAAATAAATTATTTAGAACTTGTTTTTAATTTTAAGTTTCATTTCACAAATAATGCATGATTTTAACATATTGAAAATCGTATTTTTTTTGGTTTCTTTTTCTTATCTTTTTGCTTATATATGTGTGTGTGTGTGTGTGTGTGTGTGTATATGTAAGTACATATGTTCATGAAACTTATACATATGAATTTTTGAACAAAAATATTTCATATTCTATTAATGGCACTGGAACAAAAGGAGGGACACGTTTAAAAATATCAAATTATAAATAATATAAATATAGAACGCAGTTAAAAAAAAAAAGGATTAATTTATTGTTTATTTTCAAAACAGAAAAATTATTATGGTACAATGTGGTATTAATTATATATAAAAAAAACGTTGCTCTTCCCATTGTATACATTCATATATAAGCATGGACGTTAGTTTTTATATAAATATATTTTATTTCTATTTATTCAAGATTATTAAAGAATTTATAATATTTAAATGTTTATGCACAATATTGTGAAAAATATAAAAAATCATAATGATAAATTACTAATTCTTAACTATTTATAAGATAATATTAATTTTTTAATTCTTTTATCTTTTGAAATAATTATCATTTTACATAAAATTTTCCAATTTAATACCTTATTAAAGTAATTTTACTATTTATCATTATCCATTTATCATAAGTCTTATTATTTATTTTTAATATGTGACGCATGAAATGTACATTTGTCAGTGTTATTAGCGTCGCATGCTCTCCTGAGCGGCAAAACAAGAGATGTTTCACATGTTTGCAGACAGTGGAAGGTGATAACGCTACTTTGGCTGCCCTCTAACAGGAGTGAGTCGTTCGACCCTCATTTTCCCTGTGTCTACGTCCATACCTCTGAATCCGCGGGACTGTGCCATAATAAAATTATTCTAAGGAATTCATGTCGTTAACTCGTATAATCATGGTGTTTATTGCGTTTCACTATTGTACAATTTAACTATTGTTACTCCATTTGTTACTGATACTGCCATTATAACATTAAGTATAATTATTGCGAATATCCTGACTGGCTAGGTTGATTCTCTGTGATTGGTTTTTTGTTTTGGTTCAAAAATGAGGTGAAAATTTTAATCATCACGAAAATGTGATATTCTTAACTACAGACTCTTATGTACATATTCATCACTTCTTCGTTCATGAATATCGGTTAAAAGATAAGCATGAAGAGATACTTCTGTGATAGATAGACAGATGTCATAGATGACAAGAACTTCCCACTATTTAATGAATATTTTTTAGCGATATTTGTACATTGATTCTTAAACTTATTTCACAATTTATATTTTGAAAAATTGAAAACATACATTATATAACTATTACAATTGATTAAGCTTAAAGAAATTAGAGAAACTTTGAATGCTGGGTTAAGAAGTACTGAAAATAAAAGAAGATATAATAACAATAAACAATTCTTATTCTAATATGAATAGCAAGTAACAAATATATTATGTTTATAAATTTTTATAATAATATACTTGAAACTTCAATCTTATATAAAACATAGACATTATTATCTTCTTTTTGTGATACACAATTTGATAATTGAAAAAAAGAAAGTATAAGTTATTATCTATTAATAACTTTCAAATATATTTTAATAATTATTAATTTTATTCCTTTATTTATTTATTTATGTAATAATAAAAAAATATTAAAAATTTATTTTATTAATATTTTTAACAAATATTTTGATGGAAAATGTGACAGAAATTTTTTTTTATATTAATGATTTTAATTTAATTTATTTTATTAATTTTAAAAATATTATTAAATAATTTATATAAAAAGGAAGATTTTAATATTTTTAAAAATAAATTATTATAATGAATAGAGGACAATTTAGATCTTATAATTCATAATTATGTTTCATTTATTTAAAGGAAATTATATCATTAAAGGGATAAGATATCAATGTGTATCACTAAATAGAGAAATATACTCTAAAAATATCATTTTATTTATTTACATTATTATATAATGTACAGATAAAATAAAAGAAAAAAAAAAGAAAAATGAAATGTCTATTGAGACATAAAATATTATTTGATAAGATATTTGTGCATTTAGCATTTTTTATATGTTTTAAATGCTAACACTTTTAAATGTTTACTTCTACAGTAAACTCATATCATTATTAAAATATAAATCAATGTACTGTATTCTACGAATGTTCTATGAATGTTATATGTTGATATAAATCTAATGGACCAGATGTTTATATATTATTACAAAATATAAAGATAAAATAATATTTATCTAATTATAAAAAAAATTATGTTAATGTTAAAGTTCCAGTTGACCGACATAAAAAAGAAATAAATACAATGCTTTATTCAAATGTATCAATGCGACAGGTTCTTCTGAAAATAATTATATTTATCTCGTTAGTAGTACAAACTACGAAAAAATATATTTCTCACGTTCATATTTAGTAATGCAAAGATTATAGTTCCTGTTATTGAATTATAATTTGAGATAAAAGTTACCTAACTATATTATTTCAGAATATCTTGTGATGCATTGATATATATGAAAATATGGTGAAGAAGGTACAAATGTGAAGTAACTTTATAAAATTGACTTTAATATATTTAAAATCATTGGAAGGGTATATATATAAAATTATGCGCGAAGCTGCATTAATTGTTGCAATAATAGTACAATTGATATAATATTGAATGTATAGGTGGTAAAAGAAGAAGAATATTGAATGAATAAGTTCAAAACTGATTCCTTTTTAATTCTAATATAGATTTTGTATGAGATGTAGTATTGAAAATAAATCTGTTTTTGAAATATAATTACAAGTTTTATAAAAAATAAATTTAAAATAAAAGAAGGAGAATGTTTTTCGTTTGATATTATAGAAATTATAAATTTTTATTACTTGAATAATTTTTAAAAAATTAGCTTGTTAATTGTAGTTAGTTAGATTTATATAATATCTATTGATATTTTTACTTCAATTTATGTTTCAATAGAAAATTGCATTAATTTTACTAATATATAATTCTTCATGTTATTTACTCAGTCACTGAGGAAAGAGAGAACTGGAACATCAGTGGACAATCCATCGCCCAAGTCTCCGGTCTCTACTTTAACTCCATCGATGAATTTCGATCACACTACTGCTGTCCAAAGCTTGCCCTCTCCAAAGAAAAAAAGTTCCATACCAAAACGTAGTATTACATTTGCTGATCTTCCTCCCATTTCTAAAGAACAACCAATTAATTATTCCATTTCGGCGAAAGAAGATCCATCACCTTTGCATGATAGTAAATTTACTTTCGATCCTCAAACTATTTCTTATAAGAAAATCTATCAAAATCCTACCCAAGCTACTCATTCTCGTTTCAAACTTCCTCCTACACCTTTAACTGCTCCTAAATCTATAGAAGATTATGGTACTTCAGTTTCTTTTGGTAAACGACAGAACGCACGCTCTGTTGATGGGAATAGTCAGGTTGAGGTGGGTTTTGAAAAGCATGTTTAAATAGCACTAATGCACTATTTTCCCTTCTTATTCTTTATTAAGAATGTTGGTGCGTTTAATTCACAAAATTTCATAATTATAATAATATATAGTAACATACATATACAGTAATAAAAATTATTTTGTATTATTTAAATATAAATTAATGTGCATTCTATGAATTCAAAAATATATATAATATAAATTAAATTATTAAAAAATATATATTATAACTTATATTTTTATATATATAAATTATTTTTATAAAAGATTAATATAATGTTTTACAATATAGCTTTCTCCAACAACATCACCAACACCACCTCTAGTAAAGATGTCAGTTAGTGATAAAAAAAAATTATTTGAAAGTGCCATGGAGGAACATTTAAAACCTTCCCCTAAACCAGGTAAATAGTATTTAAAATATTTATATAAACAATAATATTTTAAATGATGAAATATATTACTTTTTTATACATTTTTCTAGAAAAAGTATTCAGTTTTCTAAGTCAGGATGAAGTTGAGAAAATGAAACAGGAAGAAGGTATAGTACTTGTCAATTATGTTTATTAAATTTTTAATTTGTTTAATTATTAATTATCATTATATGTATTCAGAAAAGAAGATTGCTACTCTAACGCGAGATGAATTAAAATCGTGGGCACAACTTGATGAAAATGAAGGTTTGGAAGATTTAGAAGAAACATTAGAAGATCAGGATAATCGGCGACCTAAGTAAGCTACTCGTACTCATTCTATGCATTTGAACGTGTGATTATTCAAACTTTTTTATTTTATTATTTTTTCCTTTGTTTTCACTTTTTCATGTTTGTATATTGCAATGAAGAAAAATGAAAAAGAATTACTCTTTATTAAAAAATTGCATACACAATGCATTAATGAGAATATAATAGTTGTAATATATTATTCTTTTAATTTTTTTGATTTTATATTAATAATATATAATTTTATTTCAATAAACGTAATTTTTTAAACACTGCCCACAAAAAACATTGTAGTAATATATTAAATCTTAATAGATTATCTATTGCAAAAGGAATGAGTATTATGGTATTTCTCACTGTAGTACATACATGTTTTGTATATAAAAATATATAATCATTTTTTAGTTGTAAACAATAAACATGTTTGTCTACTATACGCGTATTATATAAGATAATTGTTTTTCAAATGAAAAATAATTGTTGTTTACATAATTAACAAATTTTTTACAAGTATTAATTGATAACTTAAAAAAATAACACAAAATATTTTTTATGTGTTATATTTTTATAGTAGTTAAAAATAATGTTACGATGAAAAAATTTTCGATGTTTCGGAAATTTTATATAAAATGAATGGATATTGTGAATATTATTATTTTTACATTTGCGATAAATTTTACATGTATATATAATTTATATTAAATGCTTTTTATCGTAGTTTTATTATATTATTATAAAGTGTGCATGCTTACTATTATTACCGTATAAATAATTTTATTAGCGATTGCTTTTTTTTATAAAATAACGTAAATTTGTATATAGGCTTACGAATCCACATTCACATTGTACTTTGCAATTGAGGTTGTGGTTGTGCTTGCACAGGCATTTATTGCACAATAAAATTACATGTTCTATTCTTTGATAAGACAAAATCATAAATTTATAAAGATTATGTACATCGGAAAAAAAATATATATATAATATTATATGTATATATACATATATATTATATATATATATATATATATATATATATATATAGCTTTTACAAACAAAAACTTCATGCTTTAATATATTTTCTTTACATGCATTGCAAACATACTTTAAAGATTCTAAAGAATAATTATTATATATTTATTTAATGCTAACATTTTCGTTTTTACTTATATTCTTCTGAAATTATTATTATCATTCAAATGATAATATAAAAATAATTATTTTTGGAATCTCTTAGCACCGATATTCTAATTATAAGTTTACAGTTGTTGTGTGGTGTAGTCATTTTTTTTGTATTGTTATCGTTTGTATATAAGTCATATAATATTTTTTTTGTCTTTGTACTGAACGTTGCTTTTGTATATTTCTTCTTTCAATGAATAAATATTAAAATTGTAGCACATGTATATGATTTGTCAGTGTGCATGCTCGTTACCTTGCAGTAGCCGACTGAGTTCGCGAACTTCGATCCCTCTTCTGCAAAATCTTCCAAGCAGTGTAAGGACAGCAAAAGCAGAACGCCGCTTGAAAGAAAGACTAATACAGGAGGTATTATTTTTATTAAATATTCTTAATCATTCAAATGTTTCAATATATTATATATATTTTATATTGTTCTAGATGAAATAATTTTTTTGAAATTTTAATAATCTCTTTAAATGATATCATGATTTAAAATGGTTCATCAGAATATGAATATAATATTTATATTTTTTAATAATATAATTTTTAATAATATATTTATATAATTTTTTATTGCGTAGGGTATAATTTCGGATGAAGATGAAGAAAGTCATTTAAGTCCTGCCGAACAGAGAGCATTAAGAGCAGAAAAACGTGCGGCATGGAGACAAGCACGTTTGAAATCTCTGGAACAAGTAATTTTAATGCTTTTTTTTACACTTAAAAATTCAAATATGAAATAGTATTTATATTTACATTAACATTAAATGTTTATATTCAGGATGCTCTTCAAGCACAGATAGTAATTAAAAAAATGAGTGAAATGATGGATACGAATAAAACGAGTTCAATGCAAGATTCTACAGATATTCCTATTACTCCTCTTTCTGAATCGGAAAAGACAACTGATGTAAGCAGTTTGTATTGTTCCTTTAATCTAATTATATTATCAGGAAACTAAAATAATAAAAAATCTAACAATGTGTTTAAAACAAATTAACCAGCATTTTGTTATTATATTACTAATTACTTCTTTGCTTACCTGTAGTTCTAACTTAGTGTTCGTATATTTACAATGTTATGTTAACTACAGTGGTACCTTCTTTGTCTGTCTTACTATCATAGTTCACTACGTTACGGCCGTCTAGTGCAGATTTTCCCAAACTTGCTGTACGTAGCAAAGTGGGTCCCCCTAAAGAGATACGCGAATCTGAGAAAGTAGTGGACGAGAAGGTCACTCGACGTACTGAGGAATACGTGGATGAGGTGACGGGTGAACGACGTGTGCGAACAGTCGAATACGTCGAGAAACTCATTGAACGACAGGTATTATAAATTCTAGAGTTTGCACAAAATTTAAGCACCAAATATATTATTTATTCACATCATGAATTAAAGATGTGTTTTGAATGGAGTTTAATTTTTAAATTATTTATATTTACAAATAATAGTATAATAGAACTAATAAGATTTAAAGAAAAATTCAAAATTCTTTAATTGTACAATCTCATGATCTTTTATAATACTTTAATATTTTAATTAATTAGAATTACAATTAAAAAAAATTAATTAATTTAAAGTTTAAATAAAGAAAAATAAAATTTTATTTTTTATAATATAGCTACACATGTGGTTGATATTATATTTTATTTATTTATATGATATGTATATATTTATAATTTATTATATTTGTTATAAATTTAAAATAATTCTGTATGAATGCGCGTGTATCTATCTATGTATGCATGCATGTTATTCTTAAAATTATTTTGCTTTAACGCACAAAATCTAGTGGAAACACTAGTTCAATGGTTGTGTTTGTTGTTCCAAGAATCCAACACTGACCATGGAAGTACAACCTGCACCACCTTGAGCAATCGATTTTATTTCCACTGATCACTAACAAACTCTTCTCATATTATTGGTAATGCTACTATTGATTTTTCTTATCCATTACTTATTTAGGCATGTATAAAGGTATTTTCCTTTTTGGTGGTATTATTATTATATAATTATTACTAATGTAAAAATATAATATTTAATTCGTTTCTATCATATAACATATTTATTTATGCATTGTATATTTTTCATAATTTGATTAATAATTAATAAATAACGTATCAATGCAAAAATTTATTTATTCTACTATAACATTTGTGAAATGTATATATTTATGTAATTAGGTTGAAACTCTACGAGAAAAGATTATATCATTGGAATTAAGTAATGCAGAAGATGAAATAGAAAGTATTACCGGTACAGGAGCAAGTGATGCTGAAAGCGAAAGCGAAGAAATTACTATACAGCCTCCTACTATAACTACTTTACAAGAAAGAAATGAAACAATTATATCTACAAATGCCACTGAAGGTGCCGCACCTAAAATAAGTGCAAATACTATTCTTGTTTCAAAAAAAAAGAAACGGAAACGTTCGAAGAAAGGTCGTCATTGACCTAAAATAAAAATTTTGGTGCAAGAAAAAAGACATATTTAAAAAAATTTGTGAAATTTTTTTTTTGTTTCATAATTGTGAAAGTGTGTTCTAATATTATTCTACATTATTCTACATATTTTTACATTTCAGAATTCGAATTTTTATTATAGCGGTGCATATAATGTAAACAAGTTCTTCATTGTGCTCTGCATTTTTGAAGCATACATATATATAATTTTATATTCATTTAATTGATAATTGATTAGATTATTAAAATTGCGTTTATTATTATTTTTTTTTATACATCGTGCTATATTTCTGATATTAACATACTGATTTTAAAATAATGCATTAGCATTAGTGTATTATAATTTTCTTGGACTGGTGCAACATAATAACGAATAATAATCTATTTCTTTATTTTTTATACATTGTTTCATAAGATTTGACTCTTTATAATATTGTTAAAAAGTATTTGAGTGCTGAAAATATTAGGATATAAAATTAAAATAGTATTTTTACAATCAATGATTATAACTATCTTATAAAATGTATTTATTAAAATCCATTCGCATGAAAAGTTGATGTGATTTGATATTACATTGTTCTATATAAAATGATACACATTCCTTTTTGTAATTTTTTGTTTTGTTTTTAATTTAAAAAATATTATATTTTAATTAATATAATATAATATAATATAAGCAATTTCTCAATTTAAAAATACAAAAACGGTATTTTGATCATAAAAACGAATAATATAAATATTTAATTGAATCATAGTATATGTATAATTCTTAATTTTGAATAATATATTTAAAAATAAGTTATCAATTAGTTTAAAAATGAAAAATGACATGAATTACAGATAGTTATTGTGCTTCATAAAGTATTTTATTTATTTTTTTTTTTTTTTTTTTTTTTAGAAATAAGTAAATTAATATATATGTAATGTAAAACTGTTTTATTTTAAGATTCATTCTAAACTAAAAGTATATATATATATATATATATTTAAATTAATTGTTAAATATCAATTGTTTTTTAATTTTCATCTTTAGAAAGAAATTTGTTTAAAGTTCTTTTATTTCATTTTAATATCAGAGTTGCCACTAATATAAGAAAGAATAAGTATTAAATTTTTTGTTTAAAATTTTTTTCTATATGTATTTATAAGCTTGTTTTCATTTAATGTATTTATTTTAATTATAAATAACGTATCAATCAAATTTTTTATTAGTATATTTTAATTTACAATACATACGAATTATATAATTTCGTAAGCAGAAAATTAAATATTTAAATATTTATAAAAAAGGCAATGTATAACAAATATAGATAAAAATAATAATTACTAAGAAACAAAATATATGAAATATATATTATTTCTTTAATAATTAGTAAATAATAATATTTTTTAATATATATTACGAAATTATAATAAAATATAATTTGCATTTACAAATTTTTATAATATTTATTTATATAATAAAATAAAGGAATGAATACTTATATTATTTGATACAATACAAATTAATTATAATCTTTGTTATTTATAATCTCATTTATTTCAAAATGTCTAAATTGAAATTGCAATATATAAATTTGAAAAATAAAAAATGATAATAATTTAATTACTTTCATTTCAGATCTAATATTTTTTTTATTCTTGATATACAATACAAGATTACAATAATAAGATAAATCATTTTAAATATAATAATATCATTTTATATAGATCATATAAAGTATTTAATGAACAGACCATATTATTAATATTAAGATATATGTAAAATTAAAAATGTAATATAAGCAAGCATTAATTGAGCATTACTATTAACTGCGGTGTAAAGTGCGATTAAAGGAGTACGGGACCAATTTATTAAATTATTAAGAAAATTGACCTAAAAAAAAAACATTTTTGTCTTATAAAAATTATAAAAAAATTTGATATTTATTATGAAGTAATATAATTAATGTGGCATTTTCAAAATTATATATAATTATAAAGTGCCAATATTTATCATATATTTATAAATATTATAATTTTTAAAAATATTTTTTTAAATATATAACATAAAAGTTGGAATTGTTTTATAATTATATTATTAATAATATTATTTAATAATATTTTATAAAATTCTTTATAAATTTTTAAAAAATGTATACTATCATTCTTTAATATATATTATTTATAACATATTAATATAAATTATCAAGTCACATAATTTTTTATGAAAAATGAATTGGAAACTCTTATGTTTAGAAGTTTATGTTTAAAAGTACTTTACATCGATGTTAAATCAAATAATAGAAATAATGTGTATGGATTTTTTAAAACTTTATATTCAGTCTTATAATAATTTTAAATAATTATAAAAAGAAAATATTATGTTCTATTACGTATATTTTATATTTTGATAAGGATAATATATTTGATTATATTAAATAATAAATTTAATTTATGTAAGTAAAGTAAAATGTATTTAATATAAAAATAAAATAAAAAACATTTCATGTAATTAATATTTGTAAGACTATATAAAGTTAACATATCAAAACATAAATATTTATTTATCTAAACTATATCTATTTTCTATTAATATAATATTTATACAATTTTTACAATGTTCAATAAATTTATAAATACATGATATATGTAAATGAAAGATAATCATGAAACAGGAAAAGAAATAACATATTTTAATCTTTTTATATTGATTTTATTATATTGAATTAAAATAAATAAAATTAAAATATATATAAAGATAAATACCTTTTATTATCATATATTTTATCATTTATATTTATTTTATCGTTTTGGTGCAATAATTCCCTCTAATTGCGTCTGAAATAAAAATAATGCAATTAATGAAGTTTTCACATTTGTCTGAAATAAATATGAAAATTATATGTAAATATTTACCTTTAGTTGTTGATTTGTTTTTCTCAAAAATTGTATTTCTTCCATATGTTTTTTCTCTTCAGCTTCTCGTAGTTCAGCAGCTCTCCTTTCTGCTTGTTCAAATTTCTGTTTTAATTCAACAACTGTTTTTTCTAATTCAATCTTCTGTAACTGTAATTCATCTGCAGCAGCAATTAAATCTTCCTTTCCTTGTTCAGCCTGCAAAAATTTTATTGAAGTTTTAACATTTTTTAATGTTATAACTTTATATCATTTTACATTAAAAAAATATAACATACTTGAAGAGCTTTACGCATACCGAAAGCAATACTACTTTGGTATAAAGTTTGAAATGCGGCTAATGTCATCTTAAGTTCATCTCGAATTCTAAGTAAAAGTAATCCACGTTCTGCACAATTTATCGTAACTTGACGTATTACTTCATCTGCAAAATAATATTATTACATAATTCTAATTTTAATGATATTTTAATGATATTTAAAATTAATAATTATTGATAAAAAAAATTTTTACCAAAACATTGTGTATAAAGCTCTCTACGTATTGGACAAATACCAGTTTCTCTTGCTTGTCTTTGTTGCAATTTCATATCTAGATGTTCTTGTAAATTAATAACATCTAATCTTGTTGCTGGTGTACTTGACACCTTATATAAAATAATGCATTTATTAAAAATCATAGTAAATTATTTAATAAATATAATTATAATAATATATAATTATTTAATAAAATTATTTAATAAACGCAAAAATATCTTACTTGTTGAGTCCAAATTTGACCATCTTCTTCCCATTGCTTAGGTGGCAAAATTTTATTTAAAATTTCAGAAGTTTCATGTCTTGTATCAAGAGTAGGAACAGTGGTTTCAACTTTACAAACTACTTCTCCAATTTTTGGTACTTCTTTTATTACCTGTTTAATAAAAGTACTTTAATATAATAACTAATAAGAAGTTAAAATTTTAATTATGTATACAATTATTTTATTAATAAAGATCAAACCTTTTCTGGATAAGTGGTAAGTAGGACTGGATTGTCATATTTAACCAAAGTATCCATAACAGGAATAACACGATCTTTTATTGGTGTTGCCATTGTATTATTTAATTTATTCAAACTTCATTGAATAATAATCAATATATTCTTAAAAAAATATATAACTTCGATATATCATATGCAACTGTTCTTTTATGGAATAAATGGAATAAATTTGATTCTAAACAATTACCATAGCAACATTGATACATCATGAACATTGATATGTTATCATATTATTAATTAAAGTTTAACCAATAGATAATAGAACAAAAAATTAAAAAAAAAAAAAAGAGCTCAATGTATGAATTAGATAATATATAATTTTTATTTATATTATAAACATGGTAAAATTATGAATCTAAAATTATTCATATATTATTCTCTTATTATATATATATATATATTATATATATTATATATATATATATATATATATATATATATATATATACATTTCTTAAAAATATATAAATGTAATATAAAATAATATAATTTTCAAATTATATTATCTTTATAAATCTCATATATTTGTATTCATTATGTTTCTAATAAAAATATTTTTAATTTTAAAACTATTATAAAAATAATATTTGTGCAAATTTATTAAGCATTAATTATATTAAAGTTCAGAATGTTTTTGCATAATTTTTGCTTCAAGATCTGTATGAAGTTTTTGAATAGTCCTTGCATGTTTTTTGATATGTTGTTCCATAGTAGAATTCTCCAAATTATACTGTTTTCCTTGTCGTGCAGCTTCTAAAGCAGCTTCTGTGTGTAAATGACGCAATTTGAGCAATCTTCCTTCATAATGTAACAATTCTTCCTAATTAATAATAAATTCAAACAAATATATCAATATTTCAAACAAAAATATAATTATTTATATTTATATTATATATATTATATATTATATATATTATATTATATATATTTAATATATATAATTATAATTATATATATATGTATATTAACTTTTAATGAGGCTCGTTCTTCTGGAGAGAATTGAGATTCTAATACAATACGCCATAAACCTTGCACTTTAGGTTCTATGAATTCTTTATGATTTGGTCCTTTTGCAGTTAATCTATCCAATCGATCATATCCATTTCTAAGTTCCAAATGTTTTTCTCTGAAATTTTATATAAATAAAAGTTTTTAAAACACAAATCAACTTCAATTATGTATGTATATATATGTGTACCTAAGTAATGTTGCTTTTTCTAAGTAATCTAGCTTTTTTTCAGGAATATTATTGGATATTTCCTCTTCTTGTTCTATTTCATTCCAAGTTTCTGGTTTATGATATAAACTATCTGTAAAATAAAAGATATAAAACTTATATTTTATTTCAAATTATTTATTATATAATATTATTATATAATTTAATGATGAAATAACTAACTTTTATGTATTTCTGAATCACCAGTTTCTACATCTTTTAAAAGATTCATGTATTCATCCACTTTATCCTGGTGATGTTGAAATTCTTCCTTTAAAGTTTGAAGTTCTTCATCTATTGATTATATTTATTAAGAACAATTAAAAATATAAATTAAAAATGTAAGTAATTTTGCAAAATACTTACGAGTAAAACCTGCCATTTCAGCTTTAACCCATAATTTATCTAATCTTTTATCTTTGAAGACATTTCTGGCAATATAATTGCTACCATCATTCAAAGCTTTATGTTTTTTCAGTAATTCTGGATCTTCTGTATCATCAAAGTGTTCTAATAATCCATAAGTACTCATAATTCCTTCAATAATATAAAAAAAAAAAATATTTAAAAAAAAATAATATTTTGTATAAAATTATGTTTTAAAATTGTTTTTCATATTTCAAATTACCAATTAGCTTTTTTCTTAATCGTGCTTCTTCTTCACCATTTGGGTCTTTGCCATCAGACTTAAAATGCTTATATGCAATTTCTTCTTTATCATGGATTTTCAGATCACTAAATATTGATTGCAATTTTGTATCTGTCAAACGCTATAAAAAAATTAATTTCTATATATTTTTTATATAATTTATATAAATTTTTTTATATATAATTTTATATATTTTTATAATATATTAATATTTACATTTTTTGCTTTTATCCATAATATATTTAACTTTGCCATGCGAAATGGTTTATCTAACTCACGGAGAGAGGTTGGAAATTGTAAAGGATCTTCATATTTTGGTTTATTTGCCTCTATGGAATATTTATTAAAAGCTATAGTTGTATAAAATAACAGAGTACATAAACTTATTGATAAACAGGTACTGCTTAAAAATGCCATAATTTTCTGTTTTCGACACTTTTGTACAATTATGTGATTATTTTCTGACGTATGCACATAACTATCTCCTAAAATTTATAAATTTATTTAATCAATAATTATATATAGATATTCAACAAATAATTTCTGGTTTTTTCGATTAATTTTTAAATAATTAAATTTTATTTCTATGATTATAAAAATATTATATAAAATACAATACAAGAATATATATGAAATATATACATATAAAAATACCATTACCTTTTTTTTTAACACTTAACTAGTGTCATCTCTGAAAAGTGCTGAAACTTGTCACATATTGTTATCGACTGCAAAATGAATTTGTTAATAGTTTTTGATTAGTAGTACCCTCTCTTTGAAAAATATTGAAATTTTTTATATTCAATTATCAACAAAAAATATTGATAAATATTGATATTATAAGACTTTGTTATAATAAATACTAATCTCTCTGAAATAGATATAAAACAATTTCAAAAAAAAAATCAGAGTATTTTTTATATCATTATTTATGCTTAAAAAATATACATTTATATATTATATTAAAAAATATAAAATTAAAATGTGTACTTTATATATATAAATTTAGAAATTTAAAAATAAGAATGTCATCTTGATTAAATTTTTACTTACAAAAAATATAACTGCATTTGCAGTTAGTTTGTATTATTTCTTGTAAAATATATAATTATAAGTATATGATGAATTCCTGAGATAATTTCAATTTTTCTTTATAAAAACTTTTGTTTCTTTATAAAAACTATATTATTAACGAACGCTGATAATTTATAATTTGTAACTATAACACAGATTAGATATAATAGTCTTATATTTCTTATATATATATATATTTGTATAATTTTTTTTTATATATATTTTAAAATGTTATGCTTCATTTGGCGCCATTAGTCACGTGATTTTTGTATAGTTAGTTACTTGTGAAATGTATACTTACATATGTACATAATTTAGGAAGAAATGGATCTAAAGAACCAGAATGTAGTGGGGATTGTATATGTATAAACTTAAATGACGGATAGTATCGTAGTTCAAGCTAAAAGAACGGAGGGAAATGGAACGTTTCGTAGCGAAATGTAAAGTAGTATATATATATAGTTCATTCTTTTTTTGATACGAACACAATATTACTTTTTTATCTAATCAGCGGAAGTTTATAATATCACATATAAATTATTTCGTATTATATTAAAAAATATAATTAAATATACATATATAATTTGTTGAAATTATAACAAATCTGTTATAATTAGTCTGCTATATAAATAATATAGAATAAAAAAAATTACTTTTCTTTCAATTCAAATATTCGATACAAGTAAGTGAATATTTTATTTTGTGATTTTTAAAAAAATATGCAGCATGAGATTTTTTATTCACTTCATGTGTTGAGATTAGTATATAATAAACATGTATTTTTACTTCTATTTATATAAAAAATATTTTATAAAATAAATATTATGTAGCAAAATTTTATTTAGAAATGAGTATCAATCCAATGAAATGGAAAACCAGAAATGTATTGTATACTAGTTTAATACTTTTGATTTTTTATATATTTTTTGTATATAAAAAAAAGCATCATATACTGTTTGAAGGAATAATAAAAAATTCAAATCCTATACATATATGGGAATTTGTAGCAGATTTTAGTAACATGAAAAAATTAAATCCAACAATGTATGTAAAATTATAAATGCTTGACTTTTATATATATTGCTATTTTGTTCTTTCCTTTTCTATTTTTTATTTTTATTAATATTTACAGAGAAGATTTTAATATTATTGCGGAAAGTGGTAATTATGATCATTGGAAATATTCAGTTAAATATACTGAACATTTAAGTTATATACCAATTATTCGAAATACAGCATATGGACATTACGCTATACGTGAAGATAATAATGGTTATTTGATTACTTCGAAACATCAAACATGTTTTTTTTCCAAATTTGGATGCTGTGAGTAGATATTTTTGTTGGGAAAAAACAAATTTTTTACAAAATTATAAAATGCAAAATTTTAAATGATTTTTATTTTAAATTTTGATTTTCATTTCAGTGGAATCTATTTCACAATTTAGATTCGACCGAGATGGAATTGCAGATACGAAGTGTATCGAAACTATACAATATGAATGTCCAATTCTATTTTCACCATTATGCTATAAAGAAATTATGTATCAACGAGAAGAAATTATGAAAAGACTGAAATTAAGATTTTCAGAGAATAAAATTAATGATTAATATTAATAATCTAGATTTCTTTTGGTTTAAAAAGAATGAAAAATTATTATTCATATTTTTGTTCTTAAATTCATGATATATGATAATGATATATGATATATGATGATTTTTTTCTAAAATGATATCATTTTTGTAAAAAACATTTTGTATTAAATATAATTGTATATTTTAGAAACATTTTTGTATAATATTTTATATATCCCGCTATTAATTTATTTATCTACCTTTAGTATGACCAACATCAAAATGTAAAATTTCTGATAAAATGGCAAAAAAGAATATAGAGAAGGAGATCAACAATTTATCAAAAACATACACATGAGAACGTGTGAAAAGGAAACAGAAATTAAAAAGTCTTTCTATTTTTATTTATATTTATTAAAGTATATAATTCATAGTAATTAATCAATAGATTCATATTGCAGCGTGAAACATGTCGAATAAATTCGAAGCGTAAGTGAAACTAGCGTTTTATTTTATTTCATCGTGCCTTTTGAATGGGCTAGATGGAGGTTAGATTTGTTTTGAATAGAAATCAAAATTCACTGATATACTCTCTTGTTTAATATTCAACACGTGCTTTCTTTTTTATATATATTTAATATGTTAATTATTAGCTTATGCAAAGTATTATCTTACTAGTTCCAAATAACAAAACACGTGATATGTATGTCTTGACATTTGTCAGAATTTAAATACATATCATATACATCTTTGTATATTAAATTTTCGATTGTTATTTTTATTTTTTATTTTTGACATTTCAAATAATTACTAAATAATAATCAAACTTATTCTTTTGCATGTGACTGTGTAAAATCAATGCTCATATGTTACTATTTAAAAGTATGAAATAAATAAAATTTGTAACAATCTTTTTAAATAAAAATTACATGAAAAATTAAAAATAATTTAATAATTTACACTTTCATCTTGTTGTAAATTGTAGTAGTACTTGCAGGTTAAAGGCTAATGAAGACAATGGAGATGATGAAACACAGTCAAAAGATAATCAAAAAACTGAGAAAGATTCACTAGTATGTAGAAAGTATTGCTTTCTTATTATTTTATCAATATTTTCAATTAAATAGCACATATTTATTATAGCCTCCTATAGAAATTAATCCAAATGAGCACAAATTACAATATGCATATGCATTATGGTATAGTCGACGCAGTCCTGGTAAACAACCAAGTATACAAAGTTACGACCAAAATTTAAAATTGGTTGGTAGGTTTGCAAGTGTGGAGCAGTTTTGGAGTCTTTATAGTCATTTAGTCCGGCCATCAGAATTAACAACATCTACAGATTTTCATCTTTTCAAAGTTGGCATAAAACCAATGTGGGAAGTATGTTTTAATATCCTTTGGATTAAATATATTTTTTTTAAGTAATTCTACTATAGTAAATTATTTTTTTTTAGGATGAGGCAAATCAAAAAGGTGGTAAATGGATAGTACGATTAAGAAAAGGTTTAGTTTCTAGATGTTGGGAAAATCTTATATTAGCTATGTTAGGAGAACAATTTATGGTTGGAGAAGAGATATGTGGAGCTGTTGTATCTATAAGGTTTCAAGTAAGATAATTTTTATTTCTTTAAAGTAATAATTCATATATATATGTATATATATATAGAGAGAGCTTTTACTAAATATTTATTATTTTAATAGGAGGATATAATATGTGTATGGAATAAGACTGCATCTGATTATGCAACAACAGCACGTATTAGAGATACATTAAGGAGAGTTTTACATCTTCCAGCAAGTGCCTCAATGGAATACAAAACTCATAATGAAAGTTTAAAAAATGTTCATCGGCTCTAAAATTTTGTGATGTCAACTCAAAGATTTGAATTCTTTATGGATTTTCAGGTAAATTATATTAAATTATTATAAAAGAAAAGATTTATATTTATAAATACTTGTGTACTTCTATATCTAGCCAATTGATACTTGTGAGAAGATATTTAGGAGAAAAATATTTTACAACTACAGAATTTAAATGGTCATCTTATTGGATAACACATTTAATTCACAAGTATCCCATTGTAACTTATGTAAATAATAAATATATGTTAATAATAAAAAAATAATCTTATTTCCAAAATATGATAAACATTCATAATTAGATTTTTTACTATATAATTGGATAATTGGATCATATTATAATTATATTATAACACCATAAACAATCATTTTATATGTTAAATATTTTTATTTAAGAATACTTTAGATTTGGAGCTCATTTTAGGGATATTCATAGGATATACATCATAGGATATTTATACATTTTTATACGAAATCATATTTTTTAAGAATATGTGCATAATTATTAATTATTAATGATGTTTTTGTACATAATGCTTTTATAAACAAAGCACTTTAATCGAAATGTAGATTTTGATATAAATATTAATATATTTTTATATTTTAATTTGAAATATGTAAAAAGGCTATAATTTTTCGTTAAAATTTGAATATATGTACAAATTTGTTTTATGCATACATAAGGCAATGAAGCACAAACTTGAACAAGAATATTTAGCATCATTAAAAGAATAAAAGATTTAATAAATATTTTTAGTCACAATATAATGACAGCTTATTATTTAAGACTAGAATCAGAATATATTCAGTAACAAAAAAAAGGCTCAATGCCAAAAAAAAAACCTATCATTAATTGTGCTTTTATTTCATGATTCTAATCATTGTATAAAGTTTTTTTATATGTATAAAGACAAAAAATTACAACCTTAAAATAATAATTGTGACCATACCTGTAATAAATGAAAAGATTCTGTTCATATGTTTTTTTTTTAAATAAAATGTAAATAATATACTTACCTAATACAAATGAAAATATTAATTTAAAGTTTATGGAGAGATGAAGATAATCAGGCACTCTATTATTCTGTTCTCCTTCTGTAGGTAAAAGTAATCCAACTATACAAATGATTCCAGCAATTAGTGCTACATAATTTGTTCCTCCTAAAATTTAAATTTATTTTATGTATTATTTTAAATTTTACATATAATAATTACTAATTATTTATTTGAAATATTTTACTTTTTTTATGATTTATTTGTTACTGTTTACTATATTTGCTTCTTAATAAATGATTCTTAAAAATGATATTTTATATTTTGCTTATGCAAATAAATTTTAATTATTAAAATATGATAAAAATATATTTATTATATATTTAAATATTTTTATCATATGATATAAAAATATATAAAAATATATATAATAAATGAAATTGAATGGCATTAAAAATATGAAGTACTATATGATTTCAAATTAAGTGATATTAAATATTATATAGTATTTAAATCCAAAAACTAATTTTAAATACTAACTTATTAACCTTTATCCATAGCATACTTCATATCTGATGACAGGTACATTTTTGTATTCTTATTTTGAATATTTCCATGAAATAAATCATATTGTAACTTTATTGATTTTGATGTGTATTCTGTAATTATAAATAATGATTTTGCCATTCAGATAAATCTATCATATTATTATGATATCTCATAAAATACAATATTTTTTTACTAATAATTATAAATGATGTTTAAAACTTACTATCAATTGCTTTATTTTGAGCTATAAGAGCATAAGATTGTTGCTGTCTATTTTCATTTATTGGAAGTTGTTGAAACATTTCAGGATCTGGTGTAGATCTTCCAGTTGTTTCTGTTGTTCCCGGAAGTAATTTAGCTTCAACATCTCTTTTTCCTATAGCCTGTTAATTTTCCAAAAGTATTAAATTATATTATTTCAATGAATTTTATTTATGTTAAAATTATGTTTAATTACCAATTTCGATGGATGTTCTTGCATTTGTATTCTAAATTTATCAACAACATTACAATTACTAGATATAAGAGATGTATGTCTTACAACAATATCAATACAACATCTTGGATTTATTGTTCCTTCTGGTTCAACAACTTTATATTTATTTGGTGCAGTGCATAATACTATAATTATAATAAATTATATTAAAATTTTTATTTAGCTATTAATTTTTTCATAATACATACCTTTAAATCTTATTGGAAAATCATATGGGTTATATAAAGTTAAAACTTGTTTATGAGTAGATTGATCGTCTAAAAAGAAAGTGATATTTTGTGGAAATACAAAAACTGGTAATTTTCGTGGTGTTGCTGCTAATTGAGACTGCATTATATTTGTTTAATTTTATGTGGTCCATGCACCTGCAAATCATATTTATGTTATATATATTTAAATTATTTTAATCTTTGATAGTATGATATATATATATATATATATATAAAAACTTTATATTTTAAAATATTTTAGTATTTACTTTATATATTTTCAATTGGTTTAATACAAAAGTTTAATTTGTATTTAATTCTTTATATTTCAATATTGCATTTATAGCAGATAGCCATGGTTAGATGTTTAACTTAAAAAACCTAAAAAAACTACATATTTTATAGATTATAAAAATTAGGCTAAAAATTATATATTAATAAATTTTAAATATTAAAATAATTGCTAAAAATAAATAAAAATACTAAAATGAATATTAGAGCATTTATATATGAAGTTTCAAAAGCTGCAAACTAATCTAATTTTATAATCTGTTTAAAAAATATCCAATTATCTTATGAAATAATTTAAATAACTTAATCAATTACGATTAATTAAAAATTAGTAGTATAACAATTTGTGTAAAGTTGAATATTTACAAACTTATTAGCATCATAGGTCCATTTGATTGAATACTGCACTGTCGATCTTCCTAGTGAAACAATTGTTCATGGTATTCACCATACATCACTTTTCATATACCAACATTTACTATTGTGCGTGTGAACGAACAAGTTGGTTGTGATTTTCTCACCTTTTTTCTAACTTACTACAAAATCAGCTGATTATTTCATCCTTCCTATTAAAGGATTTAAATGGTATCAAAAATTGCTTTATCATTCATACATTATTTCTATATAATTCAATCAATGTTCAATAATAGGAAAATTTAATATTTAAATATTTCAATATGTGTAAATTGGTTAGAAATATTTACAAGATCATATATAATTTACCTGATTTATCTAATCATAATATTAATATTATACGACCTACTATGACCTAGTTTTCGCTTTACGTGCAATAAGAAATTCAATCTGAAGATAGAAAGAAATAAATTTCAATTGAATAAAATTTAGTTAAAAAATATTACATAAATATATATTCGGGGATAAATCAATCGTATATATAATATAGGGAAAAAATACATATATTTTGTTGGCAGCCATACGTATAATATTAATAATACTTGTATGAATTCGACAATATGGCACCGGTAGTTAGGCTTATGAGTAATTATATACTTACGTTAGCGAAATTTTATTGATATAATAATATTGATGTAACAACATTAGTCCAATGTGTATGAAGATGATTAAAATACTACGTACATTTTAAAAAATAGGTAGTATATTACATAAAAGAAGTATAATTTGCAAAAAAATCTAACCTTATTGCGGAATTTTCGGTTTTTGAATTTCATCAATATTTTTATTTTTTAATATAACGGTAAAACAATATTCTTTTATAAATATATTTAATCATACTAATATATATTATTTTTAAATTTAATAAATATTTTCAGAAATATTTTTAATTTCCTTTTCGATTATTTAATTATGAAATATTTAATTATATATATATTAAAAATTATAATTTGTATTGTTTTATAAAAAATATATGAAATTTATAAAAAATATAAATTTAATTTTTTTTAAATATTTTCAGGAAAATATAAAAGAAGATACCATGGTTACTGTTAATCCCAGAGTATTTTTTGATATAGAAGTGGGTGGTCTCCCAATGGGTCGCATAGTATTTGAACTCTTTGCAGATATTTGCCCAATAACATGTGAAAATTTTCGTGCCCTATGTACTGGAGAAAAAGGACTTGGAAAAACAACTGGCAAACAATTACATTATAAAGGAATTGTTTTTCATAGAGTAGTTAAAGATTTTATGATTCAGGGTGGTGATTTTTCAGTAGGTAATGGGACAGGAGGAGAATCAATTTATGGTGGAACATTTGCAGGTATTTTTATAAATATATTTGTTATTATCATATATAAATAAATGTGACTTTTGTAATAATATTTTTCAGACGAAAATTTTATTTTAAAACATAATAAATCATTTTTATTATCAATGGCAAATCGTGGTAGAGATACAAATGGTTCACAATTTTTTATGTAAGTATTCATAAAAAATATAAATATATAAACTTTAATGAAATAATATAAAAATGTATTTTAAGATAGCATAAATTAATTAATAAAATCCATAATAGAAGAAAAATAGAATGATATATATATATATATATATATGTATGTATATATATTAGAATGATATGTGTAGAATCTTAAAATTATAAAATATTAATGCATTATATTATTTTATAATAAATATTTATTTTGCATGTCATTATTAACAAAAATGATCAGCTTACTAAGGTTAACACTTATACTTCTAAAAACATTT